TAAAATACTAATTATTTATTTATTTATTGTAAAATTACAGTGGCGATGATTGTCTCCCCCTCCCGAAAGAACAATAAATTTTTGCATCTCTCTCTAACAAACTTACCAAAAATTACATCAAGCCTTTTTCCTAATAAGACTTTATAATATCTAATGTTATTTTGCATTTAAGAATTCTTGATAAATGCAAAATAAATTTATATTTGTTAAATACAAACCTGCGATTTAAAAAAGTATCATTCGTGATATTAAAAAAAAAAAACATGAAAAATAAGAAAATTCATAAATATTCAGGGAAAATTTATTTATTCTCAGAATGTCTTTTAATTATCAATTTATTATCATACTAAGAATTTCACCCTGATCGCCTCCGGCGATCAAGGTGAAATTCTTAGTATGATAATAAATTGCACTAGATGAATTCTCCATGTTTTCAATTTATAATAATTTTATTTATATAAAAATTGCAAGTTTCCTCATATAACATGGCACTTCTACAACATTATTTTTTTTAAAACTGTAATCATTTGTAAAAATGACCAACGAAATATAGCTGTATTTCGGTTCTCGAACTGTTTCCAACTCGAAAAATTCGGTATTCGAACACAAATTTTCGAAGAAAAATCGTTCGGTCTTCGATTGAACAAATGCGACACGCTAGTACAGATTTTCGATTAATAACATATTTTTATTTTGTCATACATAAAAATTAAAAAAAAAATTAAAGATGTTGCTGATATTTCTGATCAAGATCAATCAAAAAGATAATATGACGATGCTACTTTGTAAAAAGAAAATGCCTTCGTTTAACTAAAGTGAATATCAATGCGTAATATAACACTTTTAATTGTCATTGTTAATTAATTATTAATTGGAAATAAATTATCGATTGCTGTAATAAACATATTTTTCTTAGTAACGAGAAAAAAAAAAAAAAAAGTATATTTTTGCTAACTTCTGGAACGTAACCCTATGTTCTGCATTAGTCCTTTGTTTCGAATAGCATGGATTCGCATAACACGGTACTTTTTCGAAACGTAACTACCGTGTTATACGAGGGATACAATTAGTTTTACATATATTGCTTAAATAAATAATTGAAAATAATTTTTAATAATTTAATAAACAATAGTTGATAGAGAGACAAAAGAAAATATTCTAATTATCTTCAACAATAAGTTACTGAGGCATCGAGGATTTAGTCTTGATCCCTCATATAAAACTGTGAATTGTATAAGAATAATATAGAAAAGAATAAAAAGAAAAATGAAATAAATGTTACCTTTAAAAATTCATTAAATTACATAAGTTCTTCATCATAATTAGGATGGATATTCATTCCAAATGCTAATATAAGAACATACCTAAGAATTATATAGACAAATTAATTAATTCACATCTATATCAATACGAGAATAATGAAACTGTAAAAAGTGATAATTGCAAAATAAATTAAATAGAATATGCATAAAAAAAGCAATTGTTATTATAATTTAATTTATTATTGAAGAATTAAATTATTAGATCGTATAATTGTACATCTTAATACAATTTTATTTAATGATATAATTCTGGATTATTTTCAGTAGCAATTGTAAAAAGTTAAAATTATTAAACGAGTTAAACAGGAATCCTTACGAAACTTGATTTTAAACGAAATTTTTAAAATAAATACGTGTCAATACCTTAAAAAACAACTGTAACTAAATGTCTAGAAACGTGTTCTTAGAAATTTCATCAACTACAATTAACGATGATAAATAAATTTCTAAGAAACTTCCGTCATTCTTCAAAAATAATTTTTTTTAAAACAATTTAACTAATGTTTTTCTTTATTTCATGTATAAACTTTACAAGTTAAGTTTGAGAAATTCCATACAGTAGTTCTAACTTAGAAACGTTGTATTAAAATTTACAGAGGAAAGAAAAAAATAGAATTTCAGCACCTCTTATCCTAACAATTTAACAATAAATAACAAGTAAAGTTTAACACCTCCATACAATGGTAAGTATCTGATGGATACTCAAGCTCCAAGAAGCTCTTCTTTTTTTCATAACCTGATTACAATGGGGAGGGTTGAATGACGAAGGACGAAATCCTTCGTAATCGCGCCTCTTCAAAACTATGATCTCTAACATCCCAGTCAACAGAGTGACAAACTTTGGGACGATCTGGGATCAAATGCAAATGGTTAATACCCATTTTCTGTATCAGATACACTGAGCCTTGTCTTTCACGCCTGGCTGCTTTCGTAATGGATCCGGTCAAACCCTCAATGGACATAGAAACGAACCAGCGGTGGGTGTAAAAATATCATTAAAAAAACATTTCCATTAAAAATAAAAATTATGGACTCATTCGAATAATTTTAATAATCCAATGATTATTCGAATGAGTGACTCAAGTAAATAAAATTAATTCTTTGAACTAAATCCTTACATTTTATGAGATAGTAAATTGATATTTATAATTTATATTTTTCGCATTAAATTAAAAATATGAAGACCCTCAAGCTATAATAAATACCTACTTATATATAGGTCTACAATTTTTTTTTTTCAAATTGCAACCCAAACATCTTCCATTATTCTAATAAAAAAAAATGATCATTGAAAACATTTTATGCTATTCATATAGAATGATAATTGCTGATAATTTAATAAAATCTGATATCATAATAATTTTGCAGACCGAGGTATTACCGTGTCGAGTTGCACGTGGGAAAGTCGAAATGCTCCCACGTGTTCACAGTTGTCAGTTTGAACTCCACCCTTTCAACTGACATTTCTTCTCATCGTACTTAGTACGAAAATATAATTTTTTTCAGTAGCAATTGTAAAAAGTTAAAATTATTAAACGAGTTAAACAGGAATCCTTACGAAACTTGATTTTAAACGAAATTTTTAAAATAAATACGTGTCAATACCTTAAAAAACAACTGTAACTAAATGTCTAGAAACGTGTTCTTAGAAATTTCATCAACTACAATTAACGATGATAAATAAATTTCTAAGAAACTTCCGTCATTCTTCAAAAATAATTTTTTTTAAAACAATTTAACTAATGTTTTTCTTTATTTCATGTATAAACTTTACAAGTTAAGTTTGAGAAATTCCATACAGTAGTTCTAACTTAGAAACGTTGTATTAAAATTTACAGAGGAAAGAAAAAAATAGAATTTCAGCACCTCTTATCCTAACAATTTAACAATAAATAACAAGTAAAGTTTAACACCTCCATACAATGGTAAGTATCTGATGGATACTCAAGCTCCAAGAAGCTCTTCTTTTTTTCATAACCTGATTACAATGGGGAGGGTTGAATGACGAAGGACGAAATCCTTCGTAATCGCGCCTCTTCAAAACTATGATCTGTAACATCCCAGTCAACAGAGTAACAAACTTTGGGACGATCTGGGATCAAATGCAAATGGTTAATACCCATTTTCTGTATCAGATACACTGAGCCTTGTCTTTCACGCCTGGCTGCTTTCGTAATGGATCCGGTCAAACCCTCAATGGACATAGAAACGAACCAGCGGTGGGTGTAAAAATATCATTAAAAAAACATTTCCATTAAAAATAAAAATTATGGACTCATTCGAATAATTTTAATAATCCAATGATTATTCGAATGAGTGACTCAAGTAAATAAAATTAATTCTTTGAACTAAATCCTTACATTTTATGAGATAGTAAATTGATATTTATAATTTATATTTTTCGCATTAAATTAAAAATATGAAGACCCTCAAGCTATAATAAATACCTACTTATATATAGGTCTACAATTTTTTTTTTTCAAATTGCAACCCAAACATCTTCCATTATTCTAATAAAAAAAAATGATCATTGAAAACATTTTATGCTATTCATATAGAATGATAATTGCTGGTAATTTAATAAAATCTGATATCATAATAATTTTGCAGACCGAGGTATTACCGTGTCGAGTTGCACGTGGGAAAGTCGAAATGCTCCCACGTGTTCACAGTTGTCAGTTTGAACTCCACCCTTTCAACTGACATTTCTTCTCATCGTACTTGGTACGAAAATATAATTTAAAAAAAAAATAATAATAATACAGAATTTTTAATGTTAATAATTTCTAACATAGTAAAATTCTTATGACATTGATTTTTTTAATAGTTTAATTATATAGTATTTTACAATTATACTAAATTTATACATGACGATATGACAGATAATAATACAGCAAAAAAATATATATATATATATACGAGTTTACGAGTACTTTTGTTTTTACTTTTCCTGCTCATATATAACACAGGGAATATTTGACAATCGGTCAAAAAAATCTCTTCAAGATTTTTATATTTTTAGACTCAAAAAACCGTGAAACGTCGAAAAATATATATAAATTTTAATAAAGTTCAAAGGTCTTGCCAGTAGGATAAATCACTATTTGTTTATCTCAAAATTAATTGTATTTATATGCACAAATAATGATACATTGTATTCAAATTTCGTGCATAAATTAATGTTTTTTTTTTTTTTTGAATCTATATATTTAATAATATAAATGTATTGATATAAACAGTATTTTAACTCAGACTCAATACTTATTGTACTGTATAGAGTGCTGCCATCTGTTATTATACGTAAAAACTTATTGATATTAATATTGTAACATATACTTATATATATATATATTATATTGTATGTTAATATTGTATGATGAAAATTAATGAAAAGATTATACTCCTTATTAGCATTTATATAGTTCGAACCTATTCGAGATACGACACACGACTCCCCTCTCCCCATCAATTTTTAACCACCATAATTTAATAGCATCAATTCCTCTAATACACAAGCCTGCCCGCAAAACTCATCTCTACCCTCGAAATTAAACCTTTCTATCTTTTTGTAACATGGTGAATAAATAAAAGACACGATAAGAATAGACAAAATTTAATACGGCACTGTGACAATTGTGCTCGTTTGTTTTAAAATTTAATGATCTAAGAATTCCTACTACATATAATCAATTCAATCTTACATAAATTGAATTGTTCAATCATAAATATATATTGAAAGTATAGACGTATTTATATTATCTAACCGTATTAATCTCTATTTTATCTTCAATTTAAATAATTTTCTGTTTAATTTTCTTCTTTTTCTTCATTTTCGTCTTTATTTCCGTGCACAAGAAGAATATTTCTAAAAATAAACATAAACAATAATCTTACATAATAATTATATATTAAAAAATTTTTTTTCTGGTAAGCATTAACAAAATTTATTGTTTTTTTCGTGCCGCTGAGTAGATTAAACAGATTTATTTTAATGTAAAAGGGAATAAACCAACGTGAATCTTATATCAATTTATATCTTAACGGCTTCCGTTTATTAGGGACTAACTCTTGGTTTCGCTATAACAATATGACTATGACAATTCCTATTCGTCTCCCCTTGACTCAGATTCATTAAAAAGAAAATAGGCCCTATATACCTGAAGGCTCGCGTCACCAAAAATGTATAATTCTGATGTTTGATATACACGGAGAAGGGTAACGTAGTGTTCTCAAAATCTTTAGTCCATGATAATCTGATTTCCATTCTGTCTATTTCGATATGATCGATTCCCGTAACGTTTCATCCAAAGAAAACACTGGCTCCCGTAGCTGTCTCATCGTCAGTTTTCTTTCAATACAAATGGACAGCCAGTATCAAAAAAAAAAAAAATCAAAAAATACATCTAAATATCACTTTTGGTAGCTGTTATTATGTTCTATGTATGTATGTATGTCTCTTTAATCCGACATTAAGTTCGGTAGACTACAGCTTTCAGGTTAGACACTTCTTTTATTGTTTCCACATAAGCATTTCGGACTTATATAAATGTTAAGTCCCAGGGACTTAACATTTATATAAGATTAAAGAGACATACATGCATAAATAAAAAAATACACTCGCTACAGAACTCAGCAACTTTCGTTTGCTTGCTTCCTCTTTTTCAATGCCATTCTTGCCCCTTACGTGATGAACGAGGATTATTCATGCAATGTCATCAACTCGTGTTTCGCTATCCTTGTCCTAAGTCACCATTATAAACAGTTTCCATTTAAAATTAAATAAAAATTTATAACCAATTTCTATTCAATTAAGTTTTGAATAATATTGCATCATATTTCGAAATGACATTTATAAAATTAGATGATATTAATTTATTTTCCTTATAAAAAGTCGCTAGTCACTAAACAATGGCAAAGTCGCACTTCCCTATATGAATGGAAGATTTATTCAATTATTCGAATATTATTAGACTCAATTTAATAACTAAACTACAATTTCTTCATTACAACAAGGTTCCATTAATAAAGAATACTTGAAAAATATATTTTATCATCTATTTTATTCAATATTCAATATGGATTCTTTCAATAGCGATTCCACATTTTATACTCTAATAATAATTGATTTTTTTTTATTTACAAAACTAAAACAATTACTTTTGATTCTATTATTAGTTATTATTCTAATTTCAATTGTACTTGAGCTTTTTACATGATAAATGAAAAGATTATTTCAATTAAGTTCTCCTAATGCAATATTTATGTTCGTTAAACTATGTACTTATGCTATTTTATTGTCATTTCTCTTACAAATATGTATTACAGTCGACCCCCTATAACACTGTTGATTTTTCCGTTTTATATGAATTCCATGTTGCACGAGTCACTTAGTCAAATACGTGAGCCATTCACAGCCCGGCACACGTATTTGTAAAATATAAGTGACTCGTACAACATGAAATTCATATAAAACGGGAAAATCAACAGTGTTATAGGGGGGTCGACTGTATTTGTTCTTCAATGACTTAAAAATACTTTTAGTTAATAGAATTTAATATTACAATGAAAATCATTAGAAAATAAACACGCTATTCACGAAAATTTTAGGAAGAATCCTTTGACCGAAGTAAGATTCTAATTCTGTTATTTTAGGAATTTCTGAATAATCTACATATTTGGCACTTTAATAAACATTTCATATAAGTTATTTGGTATTATACGTACCTTTTTCTATTTTCTAGTTGTGATAAGGTATCAACCAACTGTAAATCTTTAGTTTCCGGTAAAAATAAGGTCAAAATACTATTAATAATAGAAAGTGTGCCAAACAAAGCAAAGGGAAATGAAATATGAACATTGTTTGCCTAAAAAAACAATTATATAATCTCTTATTTTAAAAAATAAACAAATTTTTGAATTAAATATTTTTTTTTACGTACTGATTCTTTCATAAATGGAGCTGCCAGTGCACCTATTCTTCCCGTCATTGAAACCAATCCCATTCCAACACTGCGTACAACAGTAGGATAAATCTCCATTACAAATAGATACAAAGAACTTAATGAAATCGATGTACAGAATCTTGATGTTACAGTTAAAACAATTAGAATGATTGGATAACCTGTAATTGTAAATATTTAAATTAAATATTAATACAGTCGATCCCCCTATAAGATCATTGATTTTTCCGTTTTATCTGAATTACATGTTGTACGAGTCACTTAGATTTTACAAATATGTGAGCCGTTCACAGCCCGGCACACGTATTTGTAAAATCTAAGTGACTCGTACAACATGTAATTCAGATAAAACGGAAAAATCAATGATCTTATAGGGGGATCGACTGTAATTAAAATTAAAATATTATGGGGTTTAGAAATACCTGATTGGACTGCAATTGCTAAAAGATATACCAAACCACTTCCTGCCATAGAAAGAATCAATGTATATCGCCTACCGATGATTTTTTGAAGGTAAAAGTAGACGATAGAAGCTGGTATTTCTACTATAGCAGCAATAAAGAAGAAGTATAATATGTCTACGCCGATATCATCCGCTGAAAATGATAATCCAAAATACGATAGAATACTTGTTATTCTGTAAAAGTAATTAAACATTCGTGTTATTTTAGTTAATTCTTTACGTATTAATTTAGAGGTAGCCATCATATATATTTTGCAATTGTTTTAATTCATTGTTTAAATATGTATTTCATTACTTTTAACAAGTTTATTAACATCAGGTTTTGTTAAACTTACCCAGTTAGGCACAAAATTAAACTGGATTTTCGTAAATGAGAATTTTTCATTATATCCAGAAATGTCGCTTGTTTGTCTTTTCCTTCCTTTTCCTAAAGTTGAATTATATTCCTATTAATATTTGATTTTCCATTAATTTTCCATTAAAAATAATTATAGGATAACTATTACATATTTCGACCATACATAGTAGTACCTAATTACTTTTAGCAAACCCATTATGGCCGAACCAATAATTGGCTTGCTAAAAGAGTCCTCTTTAGTGCCCACAGGGTGGAAAATACCGCCTAGGACCGTGGAGGTCAAACCTGTAGCACTAGGTACAAATTTCGTCAGGAAGAGGTACGACGTAAACAGTATACCTTCAGTTGTAATGGGTACCATCGGTATCGTAACAACACCAAAGATAGTGATAAATTTTGTAAAACACACATCGCAGCCTAATCAAACAGCACGAGGGAAACAGCAAAAATGCATGACATCGCCTGTCGTTCCCGAGCTGATGGTCTGATGTCGAAGAGAATGAAACGTAGCATTCGACGACGTATTACAATGACATATACTGACAATCAAACTTACAATATTGAGCGTCAAAGATGACGGAACAGTCGTTCCGAACTCCTCCCTAATTATAGCTTATGGATGAACTTGCGACTGTATGATGAGACTTCTTCCACGACAATAAGACATAGCTTAGTCTAAGCCACCATGTTCTACTGAAAAGGCTGCAAAAGAACAACAGAAAGCGACGTATCTCAGGCCGAAACGGAAAAAAGGTAACAGGTACACGACAGCACAAGAGGCAGTCATCCTCTAGTGCCAATTCTTTCGACGAATTCCCCACGTTGGACGCCAGTGAGGACCATATTCTCTATGTTTTGCTTCGCGAAATATTTTACCAACCGGAATCGTGATGACTGGTTCCATGCCACATGCGTTTTCGAGTGGTCACCGGCTGTGTGATACATCCAGCAAAGAAAATCTTTTACGTTTTGTCTTGATGATTAGACAATTGGTTTAATTATTTTCCTATATTTATAATACTGCTTACTTTGACCTGTGTAAATGAAATTTCTTTCGATGCTGGGAAAGAGTCCCAAGACATTGTTGTTATGTTACTTTTATTATTGTTTACAACACTGACTGGAGACAATGTTCTTTTTACAAAGTATTGTTAACTTTTTGCCTTTCGCTTCCGCTTACATGGTACATAGTTGATGATTCTTTTCGACTATGTTTGCTTTCTTGTAGTCCATCGCATTGTCAACAAGAGCTCGATTAGGTGGAATATGGTCAAGTTAACCTAATATATTCAGATAAAATACACGATAAAAAAATGTGTTATAATTTAATTACCTTAATAATTTTTTCAGTTATAATTTTGAATTTTTGAGTAAAATTTTGAATTTCGAGTTTATTTATTTTTATTGCTTTCCTCATTACTTTTTCGGCTTCATTTATTTTTCCTTGGGTAATAAGCCATCTTGGAGATTCTGAAGTGACCCTTTTGACAAAAGAATAAAAAAAAAATTACATTGAAAGTTTTAAAAATTGTCAATGAAACTTAATTTGTCGTCGTTTAAATAATTAATTTAATACTTTAGAATTAATTTAAAATAAATTTTCCTACCACCATAATGGAAGACAGATTAAACACGGCAAAACGTATATTATTTCTATATAAAACCAATCTCTGAAAATCCAAACTAGTCCAGGGAGAACAAATTGTCCTATTATATATCCCAGTTTACATGTTAATCCTACGGCAATTCTGTATTCTTTTCTAACAATTTCTGTTGCTGTGTGATATATAACAATTGAAATAAATTGTTTTTATTTGATACAGTCGATTAAAGTTTTTTTTTTTAGCAGTTGTTATGTAATATTTTAATGATAATTAAAAATAATAATACTTACCATGTACATATATGATTTGTGTTGTATTTGGTCTTCCGAGTGCAAGTAAAAATCGACATGCAACAAATAACCAGACGGACGAAGTAAAAATACTTATCATACTGAATATAAATGTCCATGCTGAAGTTAAGTAGAACATAGGTTTCCTACCAAATCTATTTTTCCAGTTGGAAAAATATAAATTCAGATGTAACTATAATATTTGTATACTGTATATTCTAACAATAAAAACATACTTATCAGATAACTGTCCTCCAATGAAAACAGAGATTAAAAATCCTACAAAATACATCAATTGTGCAAAAGATGCTATCCATGCTCTGTCACATACTAGATCCCACTGAAAATTAAGAAATATTATATAAGATTAATTGTAATTGCATAAAATAATTTTCTTACATTCCTAATAATTTCTCAAAATGAAGGTAATAAGTTTATCCTTATTGTTTTCTTTTTTTTTTATTATACGATTTAAAACTGGGTGAAAAGTAACTAGGCATTGAAAAATCGCATTAGTTTTTGTAATAATAATACATTCGTAATTAACTTTATTGCATCATGTACTGTACATCATTAATAGAATTTCATAATTCCCGTATACATGATGTGGCCGAAAGAGAGAGGTTGCACGCATTGTGACATAAAACATGGCCGACCGATTGTCTATTGAAAAGAGAGCGCAGAATGCTGTACGATATGACTAATGGAAATTAGTGATTACTATGGAAAAATGATAAAGGGTCGTCATCTGTAGCTACAATCCGTGCGGAAACAATCAAGAATTGCCATTCTAAGCAAATGATCACAGATTGGGTTGCAGAAGCGGTCCAAGTAGCGGTCCATTTTATATCATGATCTGAGGAAAACGTGTCGTTGATGAGGGAATTGTTCTTCTGAATCCCCTATAAATCATCACGTGAGACTGTGCGCGAAAGCGGTAAACAGTACGCACGGTGTTAAAGAAAGAATTGAATTATCGCCCATAGAAACCGCATTATCAGCGACCTTCAAAAAGCCCATAACTCATGCCTTAGGATTTTTTCCTCTGGAAATGAGCAGAGGAGGCGATGTACTGAACATTATCTCGAACACTGGAAGAATTGGACGCAGGGATTCACGACGTTATCACTTATCATTAACGTCGCAGACGAATTCCTGCATAAGGCTGTGACTTTCATCCCCGGTGGTTTCAGGACGTTGATGAATGGTACAGTACCTGTGACTACACTTAATTTTCAGGATTTTTATCCATATTTCCATTTAATAGTGTGCGCGACAACAACTTTTCATAATCTTTGCTTTAGAAATTTAGAATTTACAATAAATTTTCAATGCTTAGTTGTTTTCCATCCACCCCGAAGGAAGAAGCAACAAAAGATGCTTCTTCCTTCGGGGAAGAAGCAACAAAAGATACAAAGCGATTCCGGAAAACACAGTGCATATCTATCTTACATATAACTATTTTGATAATGAAGATTAAATAGTAGATCCCATTTTAACACTACTTATTTGTCTATGTTTTATTATTATAATCTAAATAAAGAAATTATTATCAAGACTGCAAATTTCATCTAATCAACAACGTTACATTGATTTGTAACGTATTTATTATCGAGTGAAAGTCTTTTGGCAAGATGAAAACGTATAAAACTTTTAAAATTTATAAATAAAACAAAGATTTTTAAATGTGATTTTTTGTTTTACACCTAATATGAAGTCCTTTGCTCTTTTTATTTCATGCACTCATGTGCACCACCTTGATCCTCTCAACATAGTTCATCGTTATTCAAAATTGCCAATTGAATAACATTTTAAAAGAACTTTTATTTAAATAATATCATCTTTCCAATAATATAAATATACTTAACTACTATTTAAACTAAGTTATAAATACGATATTAAATGGTAAAAGTTTCTCACTTTCTCAGTTATGGTGGATGTATAAAACGAATGATCGTATTCCCACGATGTGCATGATATTCGGGTTCTATTCTTTCCAGATGATAAACTATACATTTCACATTTACTATATACTTGTTTACTTTCAATTAATTCTAAAGGGATGCTGAAATTTTTCCATTCTTCAGTAGTCATATTTACAAACTCTGCTGGTTTTGCACACCAATAATCAATGTTCGGTGCCATAAATATCCTACTAAAATTAAACCATCCGGCAGGAAAGCTTAAAAATAACAAAATTGCAAAGTATAATAGTTGCCATTTACCCCAATATCCAATTATATCAGTTACATCTGAATTTTCTTCTTTTGTTTCCTCTCTGTAATAAATTTAAAATGTAATATATCATATCGATAATATATATTTTATTAAAAAAAAACTTACTTATACTCTTCATCGGATATATTATTCATAATGCTTAGAAAACAAGTTAAATTTGTTTCTTAAAAGTACCTTCTGTGACACTATTATAACACGCGATTGAGGATTACTAAGCATCAAAAGTAAGTTTCCAATAAATGAAAAATGCAACGTAGTGTTTATTATGTTAATATATATTTCTTCAATGACTGGCTCATTAATCTACGATTTATTAAATATAAAAATTTTTAATAGTACATTAAAAAATGTACCGTTTTTCTCCCTATTCTTACAGTTAAAATTTGAAAGTTAAATTATAATTCTGTAATTGATGTTAAATAGTTGTTGTTATAGAAATACTGTATTATTATATATTTATTACTACGTAATTTTAATACATGAATACAATTATTATCATCAATCACGACATTATGAATGTTTCGAAGCTTGTCATCAGAATTGAAAAGTAAAGAATTTTTCAAATAAAATAACAGTTATTTTAAATGTTATAAAATCGAAATAGAACGAGCAATTATATATATATATATAAATGGACGTATGTGTCCCTATATTTCACTCTGCAGCCAAAACTACACATCGCACATGAATGGTGTTTGTGTGTGGTAGTAGCCCCGAATTAACACTTCCATTGTTACACAATTTCGAAGTCAACCACTTTCAACCCCCATATCTCCCATACCCTTATAGCTATCGAGACTCAACCACCATAGTGCNTTCGATTATAGAACGATTGTAAACGTTTCAGAAAATTGATCAAATTGAAAATAGTTCGTTTGATTTTCGGCAATTCTCTTCAGCGGTAGGTGTTATATAACAATTACTATGGTTATTGAAATATTGGATGTAAATGGGGTTTGCTTGCAAAACCTCCGCTGACGAAGTCGCGGGTAACAGCTAGTATTACATATAAATGTACGAACAAATAAAAACCCAGCGAAGCGGGTACTTGCAGCTTGAAATATTCTTTAATTCATTCTACAGACACGCAGAAGAATATTGTCGCCATAGATCATATACTTTGGTGACTATTTTGTTCGGTTAGGATTGTGAGAATCAAGTGCTTGTTGGTATTTAATGCTTCAAAAGTTATTTTCGCGGCTTTAATTCTACTTTGGAGACGAGTAATTAATTTCATTTTACAATGTAGTTTGTCTATAGTAATATTACGTTTAGATAAATCGTATTACTTTCACAATATAAAACTGTATACAACAAACAATATCCAAAATGCTACCCCATGGCAGTCGTTCAGTACCGACCAAAAATAATTTTTAATGAGAAGGTCTTGGTTTTCTTTCTTTTTAATTTAAAGAAAAAAAGGCAGAAAATGAGAAAAAGAAGAAAGTAAAATGGACTGCAGCTAGGTAATAAAACAATACATAAACAATAACCAAAGATATTGTTTGTTTTAAGTATTGTTTTATTATTACCGATATCAAGATAAGTAATAAATAAGATTTTACTTATTAATTGCGAAAAAAAGATATTAAAGATGAAAATATAATTAAGCTAACAATATCAGCCAGAACCCTTTAAGTATTCAGTTTGGTCAGAAGATGACTTGCCAATTACATTCTATAGAATATTGAATGGTATTCATACTGAATAAATCTGTAAACATTTTTATAAATGCCATTCATCTCTTCTTTCTTAATATAATGTTCGAACTCATCAATACATTTTAGATGAGAGAACAAATGATAATAATAATAATAATAATAACACTCACAATGTACAAAACACATGCACTGAAAAAATTAGCAAGTACACAGAACTTGCCCAGGAAATAAGGCATCTGTGGAGGATGGATAGGGTAGTTATTGTACCTGTTGTTCTCTCCTGTACAGGTGTGATACCACACATGCTACACAAAAGCCTGGGAACATTACAATTGAGTAGAAATACATACATCACACTACAGAAGGCCACTATATTGAAT